CACGAGCAAATAAAATATTCATATCTGATTCAACTGATTCACGAGCAAATAAAATATTCATACCTGGTTCAAGTGATTCACGAGCTAATAAAATATTCATACCTGATTCAACTGATTCACGAGCAAATAAAATATTCATACCTGGTTCAAGTGATTCACCAGCTAATAAAATATTCATACCTGATTCAACTGATTCACGAGCAAATACACACACATACATACCTACGCACTCAGACACACTTGCAATCAAACACAAATACAAACGAACATACATCCAGAGTTTCTTCCAGGCATCTCTTCGGGGGGGGGGGGGGGGGGGGCTTTGCCCCCCCCCCCCCCGAAATTTTTTTTACCGCCCCCCCCCCCCCCCCGAACGAAATGAAATTTATATAATTTATATAGAAAATATATACTTTTAACAGTGTCCGCCCCCCCCCCGAAGAAAGTGTACCGCCCCCCCCCCCGAAAATTTCAAGTGCCCCCTCCGGAGAAAAAAGTCTGGAAGAAACACTGCACACATCCTCAGCCAGTGAGGGATTAAAGGGGGGGGGGCTAGTGAAGCAGCAGCCTGGAGACCCCCATTATTTTTGGGCCCCACAATTTCTTTTACAGACTATAATAAATTAAATTTGTATAATATATTATTTTTATACTAGTTGATTGGTTAAGGAAAGATAATAAAAGCTTTTTTTTAAAATTAACAAACAAATATCCCCTAAAAATCACAGAACATTTAAAAACAAACAAGATTTAATTATTTTCTGCTTGCACATGGTTTACTTAAAGCGTAGGTGCCTAACATAATATATGCTAATTATGACGTAAGCACACAAATTAATCTCCATCAATCATTCATCTAGCTTTAACGGCCGTCCACTACCTCACTAATTAATATATCTGTCCATTACTTCACACTTCGCATTTTATTTGAAATCATAAAAAAAATATAACATATAAAGACTGGCCTAAACGAATGAGAGCCTGCTTCAAACTTCCCTCTAAACTCAGACGAGGCTTACTTTTTTCTGACAAAACTCATCTATTTTAAAAGGACCGCATCTTTAAGGGAATTTAATTGGTAAAGTTTTAAGGAAACACAAAGCATAGCCTACACCGTAATTATTAAAACGTTTACGGAACGTCGTGCGCAGACGCACGCACACACACCAATATATTATATATATATATATATATATATATATATATATATATATATATATATATATATATATATATATATATATATATATATATGTGTGTATATATATATATATATAATGGGGATCGCCAAATTGTATGTTCGCCAATGGCGGCGAGAGGGGTCGCTACGCCTCTGCCTGCCCAGTGTCGTCCCCCCCCCCCAACTCAGACATGTTTTTTCTTTGAAAACAAAGATTTTGGCTGAGCATGGGTCTGACCACACTATCTCTTCATATGCTGATGTCACAAGTGAACTATACATTCTACCCAACATTAACCGGCCCAGTGTCCCGCCAAGTTTTTAAAAAAAAATGATTTCGGCCGAGCATGGCTCTGAACACACAATCTACGTCATATGCTGATAACAAAGAAACAGATGAACTCTACTTCCCCTGCCCTGTTTATTAACAGTTTTGTCAAAAAGAACATTGTTCTCTACCTAAATACGATTTTACAGCTCTACACAAAGTGCAGATTCTCTCCTGTAACCAACAGACCAAAAACAAAAAACCCACTTGTAAACAAACTTGAGTTTTTGCAGTATACAGATAGATAGATAATAGTTGGTTTTTAAAGCTTGTTGTTAAAACCTTTTTACAAGCTTTTATTTAACTTGCTTCTCTGTCTGTCGTCATTCGTCAGTCTATCTAGATCGAAACGCCCGAACAAAATTAGGGCACTTCTAACTGATAGATTCGGTTAAAAGACACGAAGACAATGTAATCTGACATTAAATTTGACTTAATTGAATGCTAAATTCATTTTGATTAATTAATTAAAACGTTGGTCTCCTGTATAATATAAGTATCCAATATATAATAAAGTGACCCACACTTTTTTTAAATAGTAATTTAAATAGTAGTGTATTATCTTATATTTAAAGAAAATCATTTATTTAGTGCATTATTACAAGTAATCTCTAATTTAGTATTAAAAACACAATTACATCACATCTTACAGGATATGCAGTAAATATATAAGGTGGTGTTTTCTGTGTGAGCATATGTATGTATAGGTGTATATATGCATAATATTTTTCATGTATTACGGATGATTTTAGCATGACTAGGTGTGTGTATGTGTATGTGTATCTACATGTTTAAGTGTGTAGTGTGTTTGTGAACAATAAAATATACATGTAATTGTTTTCGCGTGTGTGTGATCGTGTATGTTCATTTGTGTTTAAGTCTGTTAATGTGTGTGTGCGCGTGTACTTGAGTATTCGTGAGAAAAACCTCTAACTCGATAATGTTTAGTTACCGTTCATACATTTTGCTATTAACCCCTTGAGAACTAAGAGGCAAATGTATTGTATAATTTAAAATGAACACCAAATAAAACTGTCACGTTTGAAAGGTATTGAAACTAAATTATTCAAAATTTGGTATTGAGAAATACAATTAAATTTAACAATTAAATGTGACGGTACCTAACAACACCAAATTTTGAAAATTGGAAAAAAATATTTAATTTGTTTTTACTTTCTCGTATATACGAAGTATAGAGAAAGTATTGTAATCGTGCACAAAAATCACTTGAAATTTTAACAATTTTCACCGTATTACACCTCAGTCCTTCATCACATCCGAAGTATAGAGGACTTATTTTAATCGGGCAAAAGTTATCAATCTAGATTTATCAAAATTAAGAGGTTTTATGCGTAATCCAGTCTGAAAAAACTGGGCTTTGCAATTCTGTCCGTATGTCTGTGTGTCTGTGTGTGTGTGTGTGTGTGTGTCTGTCTGTGTGTAAACACGATTACTTGAGTACCGTTACAGCTAGGTTGATGAAATTTCATATATAAGTATTTTATCAAAATCGTAGATCTGTGTCTACTTTTGAGCGATTTCCGATAACCGGAAGTGGTACTTTTTCTACTTTGAATTTTTCAAAAGCCTATAACTTGAGTACTATTTCAGATAGATAAATAAAATTTCACATGTGAGTAAAAGATCTAATTTTCAACCTTCTGTTAAATTTTGAGTAATTTCCGTTGACCGGAAGTAGTAATTTACGCTACTTCCGATTTCTTAAAAAACTAATGTAAAATTTTAAAGTACTAATAATATTGCGAACTATTTTGCACTTCTTTATTTGGCGTTCACTTGGTGTGCAATTCTTTTGTCTACGAGATTTTATTTTATTTTTAAAACTTTAAGTATTTAAAATGGATTGAAAATCATGTCTATAGCCCGAGTTTCCATCGAGAAAGTTTAGGGGAGATCACTCCCGGTTTATTTTTAAAATAACAAGCTAGCTGGCTCTAATAAATTTAGCAAAATAAGGATCAATGATTATTTCATGAATACATTTGATAGTTTGTGAAATTTAAGATCTACGAAAAAGGTTGTTTCTTTCATGGTAACCATATTTTCTCATTAGTCTCTAATGCATGCACATATTTTACCTTAGTACCCTAGATTAGATGCTGAAACATAAAAAGGCTAATTAATTTAGATTAATTTTTAAGGGGTAGCTAAACCCCTTATGTCTAGGTAAATAATTCTGGTTTATGTGTACATATACAACTTATCCTGTCTGATAGAGAGATATGTTTAAATTATTTCAATGACATTCTACTGTATATTTAACTTGAAGATCTCAGTAATTTAATAAGTTAATAATTTCGTTTTGGGTTTGTTTGGCTAATGTGAAATGATCTACGTTGTATAAAACAATTTAGACGTCGTGCTCTCTAGACAAAGTAAGCCTTTGAAAACAGGCACACAAAACCTGTATAAATTAAAAAGTTAGCATTATAAATTATTTTATATTTTCTAGTAACAGCCCAATGTTGTTTTTACAATTAAAAAAAAAAACAAGGATTTTTAATTTTTCGAACAACCTCTTCCTTGCAGTCTATAATCAACTTAGAGTAAAGATTTCAAACCTACTAGACATTTTAAATTTTTACTTTCTTGTATACGAAGTATAGAGGAAGTATTGTAATCGTGCGAAAAATTGAAATCGAGATTTTCACAATTCTCGACGTTGTACACGTCCCTGAGTCGGAAAAACATATGTTTTGCAATTTTCCGCATGTCTGTGTGTGTGTATGTATGTGTGTATGTATGTGTGCATGTGAGTACCGTTACAGCTAGGTTGATGAAATAAATTTCATATACGCGTATTATATCAAATTTGTAGTTCTGTATCAACTTTTCAGCGATTTCTAATAACCGGAAGTGGAACTTATTGTACTTTTAGTTTTTCAAAAGCCTATAACTTGAGTACTGTTTAAGATAGATAAACGAAATTTCACGTATAGATTAAAGATCAAATTCTCTGCCTTCTGTCAAATGTTTAATTTTCGTTGACTGGATTAAGTAATTTACGCTAATTTCCGATTTCCCCAAAAAACCTATTTAAATTTAAAAAGTACTACTACTATTCCGCATTATTATACACATATTGTTTGCCGTTCACTTGGTGCCAATTCTTTTTTTTTATACGAGATTCTATTCTATTTTAACAAGTTTATGTAATTAACATTAGATTAAAAATCATGTCTATATCTCGAGTTGCCATCCCCCGTAGTGTTATATAAGAATATTCGAGAAAGTTTAGAGGAGATCCTTCCCAGTTTATTTAACTTGGAGTAGAGGGAAGAGCTTTTGAACCTACTAGAGACTTTACCGATAAGTGTGCGATAAATAAATTTTAAAATATGTTTTACAATCTTCATGGTCCTTTATGGGTTAATGTACAAAGATTGGACTCATTCGCAGTTTGTCGCGTTTTTGTGCAATAAGCTCCCCCCACTCACCTTATTGAGGTCGCCACACGTGCACACCACTGCAAATTTCCCCAGCGAGCTCACTCTGTGTTTGCACGCCACACCAATCAGGTTGCTAACAAGTGTCTGTGTATCATTCAAAGTTATCGGCACCAAAAGTGTAACTACTGGAATCTTCCTTCGTTAGCATCTAACTACAAGGTAAACAAAGTCTTTGATTTGTTTATAACTTAAAATAGTACAATTTTTCCTCCATGCATGACATACGATCGATACACTTCACCCCCCCCCCCCCCCTCTCAGCCCCAACGTTAAAAGTTCTTGAAATCTTTTTTTTTCCTTTTAAAATTTTAATTATACTTTGTCGAAATTAATATATTACTTAATTACTGTTTTAAAAGTTTTAAAAAAGTCTTTAAAATTTTGAAAAAAAAAAAACCTAAAAAAAAATACTATTAGTAACCCAATACCTCTTGTATACCAGTTTTCACACCTATTTATGGTTTCGAAAATAAACTGAACCTGCTAATGAAGATTTTATACCATTTTTACTTTCTCGTATACGAAGTATAGAGGAAGAATTTTAATCGTGCAAAAAAAAAAATCGAAATCGAGATTTTCACAAATCTCGACGTTTTACACCTTCCTGAGTCGGAAAAAACATAGTTTCACATATATTGCATATATAAGTACTAGCTGCATACCAGTTCTCCGCCACAGCAAATCTTTTTTAAATGTACCAACTTGGGAACAGAACTAAACTAAACATAACACAAACCAACGCAAAAAAAAAAACACAAACGAAAAAACAAACACAACACTCATAACATAAACACAATTTAAATGCAATCATAAAGGCAAATTGCTCACAGTCTAGTCCCGGCGGACGCGTCCGACTCAGTGAATGACTACAAAACATAGGCGTAGCGACCCTTCCCGGCGCCCGGGGACAAACTTTCGATTTGCACCCCCCCGTCGGACTTTCGATTTGCACCCCCGCCTTCAAACTTTTGATTTGAAATCCCCCCCCCCCCCTGCTCAAACTTTTGATTTGCACCTCCCTCAAATTTTTTCGATTTGTACCCTCCCCCCCCCCAAACATTCGATTTGCACCCCCCCCCCCCAATAAAGTTTTTTCCAACCCATTTTTGCGCCCCCTAAGGTCGGCACCCGGGGACATTATATAAATTCTGACCCGCCCCCCCCCCAATAAAGTTTTATGACTAAAACCATTGCGCACTAAATGAACGTGATGACTTTATATAATAATGGGGAATAGTTGATTAAAAATAATAATTAGTAAACAGTACGTTCTTTGAATAAAATAAATAAAAGATAGCCTTTTATCAATAACGAGCCGACCCGCGGCGAATCAAACGCCGCTATTTATTTGTTTTATTTTCTACTTATCAGTATTTCATAATTTGAATGCTGCCACTGAAAATATTTGCTTTAAAACACTAAAACCTTCCTTTCCCCAACCCCTATCCTCCCCCCGTGAAGGCAGCCTCCTCATAGTTACCTCCCCTAAGTTTAAAATCGTTTCAAACTAAATTATCTTCCCCTAATAGTCGTCATTAAATCCGGCTCTACGATTGTAAACATTTAGCGTAAACCACAGCTCACCAGACCATGTTGGGGTGGGTGTGATAGCGATATGCCTCGAGAGGAAGAGAGGGGCTGCTAGGAGGCGCACTTACAGCTTGGTGTTTTCTAACGTCTCCAAGAAGAGAAGTATATATATATATAAATGTACTCTTACCCGTCTGCATAATTTGTATTTACATTTTGCTAATTATAATAATCCAACAAGTATTGGAGATTTTGGAATCACATTTTTTAGCGTGAGCTGAATTTATTTTTAAATTACCTCCCTTAGCAAAATTACTAAACAGTTCAATTAGATTTTTCTACCCTACTGTTATTATGTTTTTAAAATGTATCCATTTTTTCTAGGAATATAAACGAAAATGATATTTGACATTGATCCTTTTAATATGTTTTAGCAATGTGCGTGTATTTAATATTTTCTTGACGTTATGCAAAAGAGTAAAAACAGTTGCAACTATAAAATAATTTTATGTCGTTTTATAAACAAACCCTACGCTATTACTTATATTAAGACACTTCTATGCACTGAAAAGCACTGCAAGATGTGCTGTTTACTTTTATGGTTCCAAAATCTATAGCGATGACGGAAGAAAGGCAGGACTGACACACTACCAGCCGGCTTATATTATAGAGTATATCAAATTTGTAGTTCTGTATCAATTTTCAGCGATTTCCGACAAACGGAAGTGCAGCTTATTCTACTTATAGTTTTTTTTAAAGCCCGTAACTTGAGTACTATTTCAGATAGATAAATAATATTTCATAAGTAAGTAAAAGATCTATTTTTCCGCTTTCTATTAAATACTGAGTAATTTCCGATGACCGTAATTAGTAATTTACGCTTTTTCTGATTTAAAAAAAAACGCTTATGAATTTATAAAGTTTTAAAAATATTCCGCACTATTATACACATACTGTTTGTCATTCACTTGGTGCGCAATTCTTTTTTATGCAAGATTCTATTCTATTTTAAAAAGTAATTAAAAATGAATTATAATTGTAGAGTATCTCCGTCCTTTTAGAAAAAGATATTCGTCAGAAGCCATTCGTATTTCCCTCCGTGTTAAATAAAACATGCGATATCAATTATATTTACATTGATTTTGATTATGATGACATGACGATTGTTATTGATTCGTAATGACAACCGTTATTTCTGTTGTTATGTATTACTAGACTACCCGTCATCTATTGGATAACTGTGGGTTTCGGGGGTCATCCATAAAAAACATCACGTCTGTCACTTATTTTCACAAAAAACCAGACCCTACATCCAAATAGACGTGACACCTCAGACGTTTTAGTCTTTTAAAAACACCTATTTCGGCTGAGCATGGGTCTGAAAACACTATCCCTTTATATGCTGAGATCACAAAAACAGGTCAACTCTAATTCACCTGCCCAGCGTCCCCACAACTTAGACATGTTTATGTCTTTTAAAACACCGATCAGAGTTTCTTCCAGACATCTCGGGTGAGGGAGGTGAGAGGGGGAGGGCTCCGCCCCCCCCCCCTTTCCCCGACGAAGAAAGTCTACCGCCCCCCCCCCCCCCCGGAAAAAAAGTCTGGAAGAAACACTGACACCAACACAGACTGAGCATAGGTCTGACCACATTACCCCTTCATATGCTGACGTCACAAGTGAACTATACACCTACCCATCTCTACTTCGCCTGCCCAGTGTCCCGCCAAGTCTCAGACAACATCTTTTTATCGTTTACAAAAAGATTCCGGCCGAGCATGGCTCTGATCAGACTATCCCTTCATATGCCAAGAACACAGAAACAGATGAACTCTACTTCACCTGCCCCGTGTCCTGCCCAGTGTTCTGATAGAAAACTTTATCATTCACATCTATAAAAAAAATTACAAAAAAAAATAAATTACAAGATGTGTTTCGAACCCGTACCACACACACGGTTAGCGATTACACTATGAACTCACCTCTCTGGAAAATTATACTTGTATGAAACTTAAGTTACACAAATAGGCCCAAGATCCAGCATTTCAAATTTAATATTATCCCAAATTAGCCTATTCCATAGCTAAACAAACAAAGATTTATATAAAGTAAAATATTAAGGCCTGAAATAGTTTAGTACATCTAGATCAGGGGTCTCCAAACTTTTCAGTCCGAGGGCCGCATTAACTATCGAAATTCAGTTCAGGGGCCAGTTTCTTCCAGGCATGTCTTTGATTTTTCTGGGCAAACTTCCTCAGCCATCACCAACAAGCGTATTTTCCGTGGACAAAAAGATCTCCGCGGGCCGGATGAGAGGACCTCGCGGGCCGCATTCGGCCCGCGGGCCGTAGTTTGGAGACCCCTGATCTAGATAGAGCTAGATCTAGAATTTACGTTAAGTCTATAATTTTGCAAAATTAGCAGTATAGAAACCGCGTATGAATCTTAAGTTACGCAAATAGGCCCTAGATCGAGCATTGCCAAATTAGCATAATCCATAGCTAAACAAACAAAGATTTATATACAATAATTAAGGCCTGAAATAGTTTAGTATATAGATTCTAGGTTCTAGATTTAGAATTTACGTACTTTAAGTCTAGATCTAGAATTTACGTTATTTCTCGTGACCTAGATCTAGACTTCTAGATCTAGAATCTAGATCTAGATTCATAACTTTTTCTTCCTTCGACAGCTGATCTGTAGATCTAGAGAAATGTATTGTAAAACTAAATGAAAAAGACAGTTGAAAATTGATATAAGTGTTGGAACGTAATAAATACAGCAAACGGACGTATTGTTAAATTTATAGCCGACAGAAAATTTGCTTTAGAACGCGTTAAACATTGGAATGGGAACACAATCTTCTTCGAGAGAAGCCGCCATTGTTGATGTAAAAAGTAAACAAATCATGTGACGTCACTATTCCCACAAAGTAAAGTCAATGTTTTAAACCAGGGGTCTCCAAACTACGGCCCGCGGGCCGGATGCGGCCCGTAAGGTCCCCTCATCCGGCCCGCGGAGATCTTTTTGTCCACGGAAAAAAAATTCTGTTAGAGGTGGCTGAGGAATTTTGTCCAGGAAATTTAAAACAATTTGAAAATGTAGCTTTGGGTGCAAATAAATTTGCCCACCATGTTGCAGACATTGGTGAAAACATCGTGACTCAAATAGCGAAAAATGCAAGCACGTTTCACTATTTTTTAATTGCAATTTGCAATGGATGAGTCGCTGGGCAGCTGTTCCACCTCTCAACTTCTTGTGTTCATTAGAGATGTGGATGAAGACATGAGCATAACATAAGAGCTGGCTTCCCTACATAATATGTATAGCACTGTTACCGGAGAGGATATATTAAATGAGTTAAAGAAAACATTTGCTGATTATAACTTGGACTAGACTAACCTCAGTTACCTGAGTGTTGATGGGGAAAAGTACATTAGTGGCATAAAGAAAGGCTTGGTTGGACAAGCGAAAAACATCCCACAACCTATGTCCTGCACTGTATTATTCACCTGCAAGCTTTGTGTGCTAAATATATGGACATTAGCGATGTACTGAATCCTGTGATGAAGATGGCGAATTTAATAAGATCATATGGGCTCAACCAAAGATATAGAATACGTGAAGAATAATTTGAGAGAAAACTTGGACCTCGAGTTTATTGTCGCCCCCCGACAGTGTTTCTTTCAGATTTTTTTTGGGGGGAGGGGGGGGGGCTCCATAACACCGAAGATATGCCTTGTAGAAACTCTGGCCCCCGAACTGATATTTGATAGTCAAAGCGGCCCTCTGTCTGAAAAGTTTATAGACCCCTGTTTTAAACTTTTAAAATTAATGTGGTTAATCTACCAATGAATAAATCAATAAATTAATTAACGTCTTTAAATAAATTTGTGATTAACAGTCTGTCTGAAAACAAAAAATTGTTCTCCACGTACATACTATTTTACAGCTCTCCACATAGCGCAGATTCTCTCCAGCAGTCAATCAGACAAACAAAAAAAGAAACAAAAAACAAACAAACAAAAAAAAAACAAATAAATATTCAAACATGTAAACAAACTTGACTTTTAGTAGTATATAGATAATTATTATAAATCTATTCTCCTTTTTTACAAAAAAAAATGGAAAGGAAACTAGAATGTTTAAAGGAGTAGCTCTGACGATGATGAAGCTGGCAGTTGTGTCACTGGTTGCGACATACCTTACACCTGGCAGCTGTCAAATCCCGTGTGAATACACACCTCATTTTTACGTAAGAGATTTTACGGCACTTTGTCCATGTGTTAGATCGTACCTGTTAATAGTGTAAAGGATTTGATTGCGATGTGTAATTAATTTTACTGGGTGGTGGTGGGGGAATCTAGCTTTGGTGTGGGTGTAATCTAGAGAACGGTGGACATGAGAGATGACAGTAACGTGATTTATTTTGTTTAAGAAAGTAATTTAGAAATATTTGTACTCCCGAATTGAGGTATTTTTAAATTTGTGAACCAAACAAATACTGGAGGTGTATGTGTGTGTGTGTGGGGGGGGGGGGGGGGTATGAATGGAGGGTTTCTTGAAACAGAAGTAGCCGGCTAAAGGATAAAGCTTTTTATTTGGGACTTTCATATTAGAAAATGTTGCTCTAATTTTTTAATCAGTGCAGTAACGAAATCCTCAACGTAAAGAAAATCAACGCAAGTATATATATATATATATATATATATATATATATATATATATATATATATATATATATATATATATATATATAAGGTCCAAATAGGCCTATATTGTTGCAATTGGTGTCACCCCCCCCCTTCTCCTATTATGCCTAACGGCCAGTAGTATATTAGGTCCCTTTTAAGCCACAGGAGCAGGAGCCGCAGGAACAATGAGAAATAGTAAAATAATCCATCTTTTAATTCTTGTGGAAAAAGCATCGTTTTTTACCGTAAATTATTAGATTTGGGTGTCTCCCCTTTCCCGGTCTTTGATAGACTTATCAGTTATTCAAAATACTTATCAAACCGTTTTCCTTTGTAAAATTTTGGAATTGGTGTTACCCCTCCCCAGGGTGGTAGTTTAAAAAGTGCGCACAGTTTAAAGTATATATTTTTATTTATAGTAGGCTATTTCTACAGGTGGATTAACACTAATTGATCATTAATTAAACTGACCAAAGCATATTTCTATTATATATTTTGCAACTTTTCTCCATGGTGTCACCCTTTTAGATGGTGTCCCCCGGTGCGGTCCGCAGCCCCCCCCCCCCCCCCCGCCTTCGCCTCTTGACGCATCTGGTTGGCCTAATTAGATTTGATCCAGGTTGCGGGATATAATTTCCCCTTGCACCTGGGATTTTGTGAGTCCGCTAAATTAGGAGGAGAATTCAGACATGAGATACACAATGCAGGGGGAGACGACAACAAAAAAATGACGTATCTCTGACATCCGCGGAATGTCTGTAAACTTAGACTAGAATGGACAAATGAGTTAGGGACAAATAGTTGTAGTTTCACTAAGGTTTTTATTTTTATTTTCAGTTGTAGTGAGAGTATTTTTTGTGTTAGATGTTGAGGCGGCTTTATGTTAGGCGTTGCACTTGATATCGTAGCATTAAAGTGAAGAAATAGTTGCAAATTGCGTTTATTTCATATTTTTTACGAACCCCTGCCAAGATTGAAAGGACTAAGCAAAGGGTCGTAACAATATGCATATATATGTATATGCATATATACATGTAAATATTTGCTCATATATATATATATATATATATATATATATATATATATATATATATATATATATATATATATATATATATATATATATATAATATATATATATATATATATATATATATATATATGTATTATATATATATTTATATAAAGGCTCTGTGCTTGCTCTCGTTTTAGTTAAATAACGACACATGTCCACCAAAAGCCGTCTGCGCTGACTTAACGGGCTGGATCCGTGAGAGCCCAAATGGATCACCGTGCGAGGTCACGACCACCATAAACTGCTGGTGTAACCGGCACACCCCTTGTCCAATAGACGATCGGCATATTTTCTACGTCTCTAATCGCTTCACGTAAGTGTGTGAACTGTCGGTTAGGCTCAGGTTGGATAAAATGTTGGTCACTCTCTCGCTCTTTCTCTCGCTTCATATATATATATATATATATATATATATATATATATATATATATATATATATATATATATATATATATATATATATATATACATTTATACGGGTCATCCATTTATGACGTCCTCAAACATTTCTGATTTTAGACACCCCCCCCACCCAGTTTACACGCGTACATTTTCGACAGTCCTCTTCCCCCTCACCTCTATAGCGGACGTCCACAAAAAATGTAAAAGACCTCTCAAAACGTACTACCAATTTACTACTAATCAGTAACATGTATTGTGTACCTATTTACTGATACACGGCTTTAATATTTACGTTAATGTTTATTAATACGCTTAAATACCAAAAGTAGAATGTAACCTATGGAGGAAGAAATTAGTAGGTTTTATTTTTAATTAAACGTCAAAGTATAATTATTTTTTGAAAAATTTCAACGATTGTCCCCACTACCGACCAAAAACCTATGCAAAGTATTCAAACCTGTGTTTGCGGTGTGGGGGGGGGGGTGCTAACACAGTATAATTCCCTGTACTCTTTACACACTATTAGTTTCCGTATTCGGTGAGTGTATTTTAACGATTGATAGTAGCATTTATGAGATTAATAAGTCGCAAGGCCTCCTCGGGTTCATGGCTTCCATTCTGTTTACTTAATCGCTTAATTTTTAAAAATTAGGATTCTTCCATAAACGACGTCACACTCAGGAGGGGTTGGAGTGGGATTTCAGAATGTGTGAAGATACACTGCTATAATGTTAGATAATGAAATAAAGCCGTTGCTTCACGTTGTTAAATAATGTTAGCTTTCTTAAAAACTTCAAACGAAAACCAATCGAGGCCTGTTCAACGCTGACCAGTAATTATTTTAGACTAGTGACGGAGGATAAGGTTTATAATTGTTTTAAATTGTTAGCACATCGATGTTAAATTCAACATATATATATATATATATATATATATATATATATATATATATATATATATATATATATATATATATATATATATATATATATATATATATATATATATATATATATATATATATATATATATATATATATGTACATATGTACAATTCACATTTTATATTTTCTTTCTTTCAAATTATCAAATTGTAGGTAAATGAGGGATTGGTAAGGAAGCTAAGTAATTTCCTGTTATTAATTTAACAGGACAAAGCATTGACAATTTAATTAGATTTATTAGCACGTTCCTCTAGCCTACACGTTTTTAATTATTTTTCCCCGCAGACAATATACCTGTGAACCCAAATGTTCGTTCCCGTGGTGTGACGACATTCAACCCGCTCCAATTGCTGTATCGCGCGAAATGAATTCGCCGGAATTTGGAGGCAACGACTTTAGCAGAGTAAGTTTTATTGATCAATATGAGAAAATAATGGCGAAATCGTCAGTTACAAAACTAATAGAAATTGGACTTAATTTATTATGGGACATAAAAATTACGAACAAAGTATTGATGTATGAATATACATACATAAAAAAGCCATACATACATTTGTATATATATATATATATATATATATATATATATATATATATATATATATATATATATATATATATATATATATATATATATATATATATATATATAATTTTTAAAAATACAATTCTGTTACTTTGAAAGTTTTATTGTTATAATATTCTAAATATTCTAAACTAGATTGAATGTAGATGTCAAAGACACCACAAAATCAGTGTGTTGAACAGACTATATGGGTATGCGACCTTATTTAGACGCAACTGGTCGAATGCAACTCACTCCTCACAACTTTTTGTTTGCAACCCAGAGCTTCAGAAACCTAGTAAGTGAAGGTCATTCTGACACAGTTACCATCGGATAAAATCAGATATAAATAAGTCAAGCTTGTCAGCTACAGTCAAAAGTCAATAGAATATCTATATTTTGCATAATTTGTTCTGCTATGAATTTGCATATTATATATATACTAGCTGCATCCCGTGCTCCGCCACGGTAAATCTTTTTTAAATGTACCAACTTGGGAACAGAACAAAACTAAACACAACACAAACGAACGCAAAAAAAAACAACGAAAAAACAAACACAACACTCATAACATAGACACAATTTAAATGCAATCATACAGGCATATTGCTCACAGTCTAGCCCGTAGCGCCAAATCGCGCCCTTTCCGGTGATTTGCACCTCCCCCCCTCAAACTTTCGATTTGCACCCCTTCCCCCCCCCCTCCCTAAAACTTTCGATTTCCACCACCCCCCCCCCCCCTCGCACATTTTTCCCAACCCACTTTGGCGCCCCCTAAGGTCGGCACCCGGGGACATATGCCCTCCCCCCCTCGCTACGCCTCTCCTATAAAACCCGAAAGATAGAATAATAATTAGAAAACAGTATAAATAATAGGCAGTATTTAAAATATCCGTGTTTTACCTACAATATTTCACTTTATCCATTCACGCATTTTTTTCCAGTACTTTAAATTTTAAAAAATTACAATAGAGTTTCATAACTAAAACCATTGCGCACCTAATGAACGTGATGACGCGTCTATAATAGAGCTGAATAGTTGATTAAAAATTATAAGTAATAAACAGTAGGGCCTACATTCAGTGAATAAAATAAATAAAAGATTGCCTTTTATCAATCCATGCTAATTATAATTTTCTAACAATAATTTCCTCTTACACATCCGAATAATTTGCATTCACATTTTGCTAATTATATTATTGCAACACTAATTCCTTCTATGACGAACGTATATTTGCATTTACATTTTTTATTAGCGTGAGTTTAATGTATTTTTAAATTACCTCCTTTGTCAAAATTAGAAAAGAGTTAAATTAATTTGATTTTTCTACCGTACTGTTATTATGTTATTAAAATGTATCCACTTTTTCTGGGAACCTAAACGAAAATGATATTTGACATTAATCTTTTTAATACGTTTTAGCAGTTTGCGTGTATTTAATATTTTCTTGACGTTATGCGAAAGAGTAAAAACCGTGGCAATTATAAAATAGCTCTATGCCGCTATATAAACAAACCCTACTCTAATACTTATAATAAGACACTGCGGTGCACTGAAAAGCACAGCATGGTGCGAATGTTTACTTTTATGGTTCCAAAATGTATAGCGATGACGGAAGGAAGGAAGGAAGGAAGGAAGGAAGGAAGGAAGGACTGACACACTACCAGCAGCGTTATATTATAGATATATATATATATATATATATATATATATATGTGTGTGTGTGTGTGTGTGTGTGTGTGTGTGTGTAAATTAATCTTTAGGCTACATATAAACATTTTTTGGCAGATTTAGAGTTTGTCCGTCACAACATATATAAATTTATACTTCAAAAAAATAATGCAACGGCTTAATTAATCCGCCTACATAAAAGATTAGTAGTTGGGTCAAATTTTTTGGAGATTTAGTTAAACTCATTTTGCAACACCTTAATGACGATTTGTAAAACGCTCTGAATTTCACGTTTTTAAAGAAAACGTTTACACTCATCTTAAATCGCTCAGTGTTAAATTAGCATAACATATTTTGTTTAGTTTTTATGGTTTAAATAATTAAAACAAAAACTCCTATTTGATCTTTACAGATAGAGCTGACCCATGTTTGCCTATAAATCAGAGTGGTTAAGTCACGTACAGTACAGCGACAAGAGTAATGGACAACCTGAAATACCGGGAAAGAAGGGCACATACATTACACAACACGAAATGGTTTACTTGGAAGTTTTTTAGTCAGTCTTTAAGCATTTCTTAAGCTTATTTTAACTGCAAATGCTGCTTCTAGTTTAGACCAATTAAATCTGTGTTAGGATATTTAAATGACAACTTATTTGAAATTTGATTTGGGAGAAAATTCATTTGTTATCTGCCATTTTCAAGCTAAACATATTAATTTACTACATTTACAAGATATTGAAAATACTTTTAAGTTTTGGTTTTAAAATAATAAGTACTAGTAATGTGTGCATGTATAAATAAAAAACTAGAAATCAATCAAATCCAAGATTCGATGGACTAGAATATGTTTCCAAACTCTTGTAGCTGTGCTGATCATGAATAAAATTAAGAAACTGAATTTTAAATTTTGTTTTTTATCGTTGCTTTCATTGTGATTTACATTTTTTTCTTCTGTTTGTGTTCCACTGTCATATATATATATATATATATATATATATATATATATATATATATATATATATATCCCTTTTCCCTTTTATTTAGAAGCGCTATCCTTTTACAAAAAAAAATTAATATTATGAGAAAAAATATACCTGATCGGAGTTTAAAGGGTAGTTTGCAGCGGATGCAAGTTAGTTTATTATTTTTGGAATAATTTTAAAAAGATAAATTACATAGTTTCAATATTATAAGGTTTTAAAACAATAAAGGCCACACATTTGATACACAGATGCGAGTTTTCAGATACATGTTTGGTATAAATTGAAGTAATACCAGTGTGTTTTGTAGGATGGTCGACTTATAATGAAATAAACTACAAGAAACAAATGAACAGGAATTCAACGACCACAACAACTTGAAGATGTGGATTTAGTAGATGTACTATTCCTACTGTCACATAGTCAAAAACAATATAGAACAATTTGTACCAGTTGAACAAGGTACAGGCCAAGACATTCAGAGTAGAGTCCACAGTGACAAAATGCTTTTAACTTCTTAACCAATGTGGAATTAAAAAAAATTAAGACCTTTAGCTAAAATAGGAAGTCTGTTTTACTGTGTGGCTCGGAGCTTGAAAGTAACCGACAGTAGATAACGGAATAAGAGAACAGTAATTGCGGTAGATTTGCCACCCATCAGAAAGATAGTAAATAACATCACTAAGCAGGTGCTAGTGTAAAGTCCAAAGGGAAAAAAGAGACTAAAAATGGCATTCAGGAAATCGTTTAAATGATGTGATATATATATATATATATATATATATATATATATATATATATATATATATATATATATATATATATATGTATATATATATATATATATATATATATATATATATATATATATATATATATATATATATATATAGTAGTATTTCCAATAGTTATTTATTTATACTAGGTCAGACCCTCCCACCTCTGTCGAGTTAAAACCATCTATAAGCCAAAGTACCATTCCCCTTTCTATACACAAGCAATTTTTATTTAGTAAAGAGACAACTGTACCACTGCCAAATATTCTAACCAAATCAATAGGAGCTTATATAGTGATGAATGAAGGGGGCCGCTTGGTTGAGTGTTAAAGCTCATGGTTGCTAAACTAAAAAGTCCAGAGTTCGAATCCGGGTCCAAATCAGTAGAAGGTCTCTGGGTACTTATGGTTCCTAACTTACATTAAGGAAAGTAAACTCGGTTGAATATAGTAATGAACACACTATCACTGCAACTAGTCGCCCAGAATCTAAAACCCACCTGTGTCCTCCCAGATTGTAGATGCGATGGTCGTCGTCTATTGGACAAAGATGGACCCCCCTACCCTCGCTGTTCAAACACAAACAGTTGCTGTTGGTCGTAGTTTCTGTGCAGGTGGTTCCATTTTGGAAATCGCGGGTCATTTCGAATACGTCACTGCAGACGCCTCTTGGGGGACATGTGTTGTTGTTTTTCTGAAAGGAAGAAGGGAAAATTAACCTTTAGCCTACAACAGTGAACGGGATGGCGTAGTAATTTGGTAGAGGAGACACTGTTATATTCTCTAGTTCCGATAACGGGTTCGAGTTCTTAGAGGTTTTTATGCCCAGTCTGTTCTCTTGAGTAGCTTGGTCGTGTTAGGAAAGGTAAAGACTGGGCATAATATTAACCCGCGGTAGGCTACCAACACGAAAGTCTCGAGCTCGAATCCGGGTCCAAGTTAGTTATACGTCCCTGAGTCAACATAGCTCTGATGGGTGCCTAACTCATGTTAGGTAAAGTACAGGCGTTTCGGCTAAGTGCTGTCCGTACCTTCCCTTCATATGCCGAGGTCAAGAAACATGAGCTCTACTTCATCTGCCCAATGGATAGCTAGGTCTAAAGAGGATTATTTACTTTATAGTTTCAACCACACTATCTTCTAAAGCAGGGGTCTCCAAACTTTTCAGCCCGGGGGCCCCATTAACTATCAAGTATCAGTTCGGGGAGCCAGAGTTTCTTCCAGGCATCTCTTCGGGGTGGTAGCGCCCCCTCCCCCGAAGAACATGTACGAAATATAATTTATATAGAAATATATACAAATTTCAAGTGTCGTACCCCCTCCCCCTCCGGAGAAAAAAAGTCTAAAAGAAACACTGCCGATGGCCAACAACACACTCGAGGTCCAAGTTTGCTTTCAAATTATTCTTCACGTGTTTCAATCTTGAAAATATTTGTTCACACAGGTATCTTGTTCCAAAATTTGAAAAGTACTTTGATGCAAAAATTTTAATATTAGGAAAATCTTCCTTTTGCAAAAACTTATAAAAACCCACCCGTCCTTCTTTGAACGTGTCTCTAATGACCTCCAGCTGCAGTTCATCTATGCAACTGGCCACATTTGCTTCAAATGGGTTCTGAAACAGTCTCACGTTTTTTTCTGCCTTTGAATCCAAGTCAGAAAACCGCTACAGAAACTGCAGCTTGAAGTCTTTGATGATCTCGTATGCAAATGACGTGGGGAAACTCAGTGGTTGCTTCAGCCGTAAAGACCTTGCACTGCTGAGAGTGCGTCAAGTTTTTGGCTTGTACTTGTTCCAAAAACATGACAAGTTTGGATCTGAAAGCCTTTAGGTGGGTGTATAGATCAGTAACTAAATTTCCATTCCTTGAAGGTTTAGATTCAGAAAATTTAAATGACTAGTTGTGTTTGCAGCAGAGGCCAATTTCTATACCCACTCTTCAACAGACAGCAAGTGCATCAGCTTGTGGCTTGCCTTTACTTTCAAGGAAGTCACCTATTTTCTCGCAAATTAGCCATCTTACTACTGTGAAATATGGTAAATATTTCGATTCTGTGTTTCTATCTTTATTCTCTTCGGTAACAGTGCCATACATTCTATGTAGGGAAGGCAACTCTTGTGTTATGTTTATGTCTTGATCCACACCTCCAATGAACATAAGCAGTTGAGATGTGGAGGCAGCTGTCCATGCGGGGAAACCACGCACGCACGCCAACTCTCCAGGCATGCGCAACAGTGTGTACCCACCCACCCCATTTGGACGATATAATAATATGTCTTTCCGGAAGTCTTTAGCCGTCACAAAATAGCGGCGTATGTTACGCGACGGGTCGGCTCGTTGTAATAAAATCTCTTACAAAGTAGGTAGGTATGACCCCACATACTAAATTCTGTAACAAAGTAGGTAGGTATGCCCCCACAGACTGAAATCTCTTACAAAGTAGAGAGAAGTGTGCACATGGGCTTTTATATGTTAGGAAGGATATGATGTATAGGACTCGGACCTAGTTTAAAGACAGCGGAGAATGAAAAGGTGGTGTTAAGGCACAATATGAGGAAAACAAAAAATAACATCATTATGCAGGTGCTTTTGTGAAGTCCACCACGGAGAAAGAGGAAGAGAAAAAGACCAAATAAGTTATGAAGAAAATCGTTTAAAATAGAGAAGGGGAGGCTGGATTATTAGGGTTCGATCTGCATAAACGAAGAGTTGACGAAGTGTTGCCTACGCCTATGCTCCTTAGGAAGCCGAAACGAATAAAAAGGAGAAAACCAAAAAAAGTTTAGAACAGTGGGTTCCATCGAACCCAAGTGGTTCTGTTAGACAGAATCAGGGCTTCGGCGGAGGTCAAGACATACATCCGACTTATGTGATTTCACGGTCGGGTTTTGTCAGTGTGGACGATACAACTATTAAGAAGGGTTTTGTGATTGCACATATGAACCTGGTTGGGTTCGGTACCTCCAAAAAGTTAAGAACCTCAGATTTAGAGTGTACTTTGTAGAAGGTGCAAGCTTATTTTGTCTACTTTTGGTCGTGTCTTTAGAACAATTTCTATAATAATATATATTACAATTATAAATTATCAGTTAGGTTGATAACAGTGTTACGAAAAAAGCAATAAAAATGATGTATTTAATTAAGTACAATATACTAATTTTCTTCGATCTTAACATGTTTACAAATAGTGTCGCTTTCCACCCATTCGCTTCGACAGTCTGCTATTTTACTGATTTGTACAAGAATCCGCGATACTTAGTTCTCTTTAATGCAGTGATCCAAGATGTAATGCAATCAAGTAAAAGTATCTGATCTATCACGTTGAAATTGAGAGAATCGTGAGAATCGTACAAAGAACTACTCGCGTCATTTCTTAGCAAAACTGGGTAGTGAAATTGTACAAAAAGCGTTAATACAATTGGTTTCTTTTACTTAGCGATCCAGTACTAGTCCTTGCGATTTTATTGCTGAAAAAGCACCCCACCCCACCATCTTGGACAAAGATGGAAGCTCGGGATTTAACGTCATCTGACTATTTTTTTTAATGTTACACAATCGTAAACTACGCTTTAGTACATTGGGTTTCCTTTCTACGTGATAACGGTTATCTACTCACTAATCCATTGTAAATTTGTTCCAATTTTAGTCTTCTAAAAAGCGCCTCCCCAACTAAGAAAGCTGAACAGCGGTTTTACAGTAACACAATCAAGGTAGCGAACAGTTAAATCAGTATGCAAAAGCTTGCGGCCGTTATATTTCTTACCTTTGTTTATAATTAAAAATTGCAGCTTAAAATGAGCTTTTAATTCTTTCTACCCCTTTTGGCGCCCCCTCGGGTCGTCGCCCGGATCGGCCGCCCCCCCCCCCTAGCCACGCCTCTGGGCAAAAGGCCTTCGGGCAAGTGGCTTTCGGGCATTTGTCGCATTCGGGCAAGTGTCCATTCGGGCATTTGTCGCATTCGGGAAAGTGTCCATCCGGACATTTGTCGCATTCGGGCAAGTGTCCATTCGGGCATTTGTCGCATTCGGGCAAGTGTCCATTCGGACATTTGTCGCATTCGGGCAAGTGTCCATTCGGACATTTGTCGCATTCGGGCAAGTGTCCATTCGGGAAATCGGCCTTCGGGCAAACGGCATTCG